AGGTTAGATCAAATCCACGGTGTTAAATTTGTAAATAAAGACCAACATTTTTGTGTTCTATATGGGGGAGAACCTGCCGAAATCGGAGAAAGGAGAGCGGCTAGATGTAGCCCGTGAAGAAGAGCGAGAATTGGCACCCCAAGCCATGCCTAGGGTTTTCTGGGTCGTCTTCTTCCTTTTACTACTGGTATTACTGCTTGTAGGATTTGAATTGATGCTCCGTTTAGATTCGGAGGCAGAATTGGCGGACCTAGATGAATCTAAGCTCATACTTGTTGGTTAAACGAGTGGAAATGATGATTGGATGTCAAACTAGCGGAGCAGGGCATTTAGAATGAAAATCACAAGGATTACCCAAAGCGGTTATTCAATGAGCCATCATGTAAATTCGTAGAGTTACTTAGAGTTACTCTTTTTATAAGAGTAAAAAAGAGGTTAACAAGCCTCAAAAAAAATTATTTTACTCAAAGGATAATGGCAGAAGCTGTACCGTTAAGCCTAACAAAATTAACAACGGGTGGTTGACCATCCATCTTCCCCTACCCCAATCCCAAAGAATTGCGAAGAGAGCAACGCCCCAGGCAACCCCTGCCGTCCGTCGCCAACTGCCAGCCGGCCGTCGCCGTCCCTCGCCGTCCGTCACCATTCGTCGGGTTAACGGTATCGTTCTCCCGTGTTTTCTATTTTAATTTCCAAAATCTCTAATTTAAACTTATATTTGGTAATTGAAATGTTTATTAGATATGTTTATGATTAGATCTATGTTGAGAATATAGAAAATTGTGTTGGAATTTTTGGCAATTTTAATAGGCATTAAATGGACCAACTTGGGTATATTTATCAATAGGTCCACTAACGGTTTTAACCGTTAATTAATGGACGTCTGTTCTCTTAAATGAGATAAATGTTTTGATAATTTATACGCCAAAAATGGTAGAGGATGAATGAGAAATTGATTCTCAAAGTTAACCCGTTAATAAAAGAATATGGTAAGAATTGCAATTTTTTATAATTTTACTGAGCCAATCTTCTATTATTAATTTTACGTATTGTTTAAAATTAGTCCTTTTTACGGAGTTAACTGGCCATTAATTTCCAATTATTCGGGACAAATTTTAAACGGAGCGTAGCGTAACGGACGTGTTAATGGCTAATTAATCACCATTAACACGTCATTATTGTGCCACAAATGCCATGGATTAATGGTGTAGGAGTTACACTTTTTAAAATTCCTTAGTTATAAATATCAAGGGCTCTCCATTGTTTAGTATGGTGTGTTTTGTGTGTGCCATACATGAGAAAGAAAGGGAAAAGAAAGGGAAAACTTTCTTGTCAAATATTTAGAGAGAGCTCTTGATTTTCCGGCCAAATTCTCCGGCCATCTCCCTTAAAGTTTTTTTTTGTCGTCAACGTTCCTACGTTGTTCTTGTTCGTTGGTGTGTGGTTGGTCCATACAATCTCCACACACGATAGCAGTTTTATCCTGGGAGGAGAGTGCCCACGTTTTTCCGGTACGGTAGGCGGGCACTACTACCTTAAGGACAGCTCCGGCGAGTCCGCTGTCCTTCACGGTGTTTTGTTTTGCAGGTTTAGTTCATAAAGACCTCGCTGCATTCTGCCCTAGTGCATAATGTCCTCGCAGCCCAGTGCATAATGTCCTTGATGTCCAGTGCTTAATGTCCTCATACAACAAGACTGTTTGAAGAATTGAAGATATATAAATTTATTTTCAATTCTGTTTATCTTGTAATATTCTGAATAAGTTCTAAATTCAGAATTTTATTTTTTTATTTTCCGAGGCCGTTCATCTTCCCCGTCCGTTGTAATCCGTACAAAAATTGTAACAAATTGAAATGTTGATAATTTAGAAAATTGAAAATTTAGATTAGATCTGTGTTGAGAATTTAGAAAATTGAAATGTTTATGAGATATCCAAATTTTTTATGATATATTTATGTATTTTTTGTAGTGCATTCTATATTTTTTATTTGTCGTATTCATAGACTATAAATTTTAATTTCATAGAATAATGAACTTTAAAAGAACGGACGTTCATTCGGGACCAATTGTCCCCGATATACTAGTCTTGGCACCTGATCAACGTCGTTGTGATAGGGTGTGTAACACCCTAATCCGTCCAGGTCTGCAGCCCCATTCGGACTAAAGTATTTAACTTGGTAATCATAAAAATTTAAAACTTTTCAAACACACTTTATTAATCCCAATAATATTTTTCATAACATATACAGTACGGAGTATTCAACAATATTGCGGAAGCGAATTAAAAATTGACATATCATAATTCATTTCAAAACTTGTCACATCCATCCCGATAATCTCGTCTCATCTGCCACCAGGATCACATTGTTCTTTCTGTTTACCTGCGTGTAGCAATTAAAACATACTACACGCTCAGCGGTAAAGCTGAGTAAGCATATCTAATGCGTCGAACATCCATATAAACTGAATCTAAATTCATAATCAAATCATTTGATATCATGCACACAATGTTCACTTCAGACATTCACAGTTTTGATATTA